CCCTTTCTCCTGCTCTTCTGGCCTGCTACTTTGGGTGTCCCTGAGTTGTCCCTGGGGCTAACTGCTCCTCTGTCGGGTTCCTGGCTTTTATCCCCTTTCTCCTGCTCTCTGGTCCTGCTGCTTTGGGTGGGCTTGAGTTTCCTCTCCTCACCTAATCCCTTTGGCTGATTCCTCTTCTCTCTGGCTTCCTGGCTTTTAATCCCCTTTCTCCTGCTCTTCCCACCTGCTACTTTGGGCATCCCTGAGTTATCTCTCCTCACCTGTAACTCTGGGGCTGACCAGTGACCATAGTGATACTGCCTCGGAAACCCAAGGAGGGGTGAGTCGGGTCCAACTTGACAGCACATAACAACAACAACAAAGTAGTCAAATTACCAAACTTCATGTCTGATTTAATTTTATCTTATAAATCAGGGAAAGCTTAAGGTTACTAAAATCAGGTAACTTGCCTTCCCAAAACCAACCCATTGCCTATGAGTCAACTCTAACTCATAGTGACCTGGTGTTCTTGTTAGACATTGAGTCCATTCTGACTGATAGCAACCCTATGTACAACAGAACAAAACACTGCCCAGTCTTTTCCCATTTTCACAATTCTTGCCATGCTTGAGCCCATTGTTGCAGCCACTGTGTCAATCCATGCCATTAAGGGTCTTTCTCTCTTTCACTGACCTTTTCTTTTTCCCAGCATATCCTTTTGCACGGAATGGTTCCTTCTGACAACATTGTGAGAGAATGTCTGGCCATGATTGCTTCCAAGGAGTATTTGACTCCATTTCTTCCAAGACAGATTTGTTCATTTTTCTGGCAGTCCATGGTATTTCAGTATTTTTTTCTAACAAAACAATTCAAATGCATCAGGTCTTCTTCACTCTTCCCTATTCATTGTCCAGCTTACATGTGCATATGAGGCTATTGAAAATACCATGGCTTGAGTCAAGTGCACCTTAGTCTTCAAAGTGATATCTTTGCTCTTGAACTCTTCAGAGAGATCATTTGCAGCACATTCGCCCAGTGCAGTATGTCTGATTTCTTAACTGCTACTTCCATGGGCATTGATTGTGGATCCAAGTAAAATGAAATCCTTCTCAATCTTTTCTCCATTTGTCATGATGTTGCTTATTAGTCCAGTTTTAAGGATTTGTGTTTTCTTTGTGTTGAGGTGTAATCCATACTGAAGAGTGTAGCCTTTGATCTTCATCAGTAAGTGCTTCAAGTCTTCTTTAGTTTCAGCAAGCAAGATTGTATCCACTGCATATCACAGGTTGTTAATTATGTAATAATTAATCTTTATGGAAAGAAGTTGTAGTGGTGCTGTTGTTAAAGCACTGAGCTGTTAACCAAAAGATTGGATGTTCAAACCCATCAGCCACTCCATGGAAGAAAGATGAGACAGTCTGCTTCCATAACGATTTACAGCCTTGGAAACCCTATGGGGCAGTTCTACTCCATCCTACGGGGTTGCTATGCATCAGAATCAACTCAAAGGTAGTGGGTCTAGGTTTTTTCTTGTTTAAAATCTTTACAGAAGCAGACTGACACAGGCTTCTCTTGAATAGCAACTGGTGGGTTTGAAATGGCTACCTTTTGTTTGGCAGTGGAGCACTTTAACCACTACACCACCTGGTCTCCTTATTTCCCTGCACTAAAACTCTCTTTTAAAACTAAACCAAACTCACTGCCGTTGAGTCAGTCCTGACACATAGTGACCCCTCCTTGCGTTTCTGAGGCGTTATCACCTCAGTAGACTGCCCAACCTTCCTTTCAAGGAGCAGCTGATGGGTTTGAACCTCCAGTCTTCTGATTAGCAGTCAAATGCCTTAGGCACTATGCTACTAGAGCTTTAAAAATGTCCAAAATTATTCTTTCTCATCATTCCTTTTTTCAATCCTGCACACATTTCTTTTTTGCCAGAATGCCTTTCCAAATGATTGTCACACATGTGCCCTCAAGGAACTTACAGCCAGGTACAAGGGAGGGATCATCTATAAGTAATTCTCAAAGAACATAACTACGGAATTCTTGTTGGCCGAGGGAGGTCAAATCATAAATTGGAGAGAGAGAGTCAGTGGGAAATAAAATACACAGACAAGACATCTTAAATGCCAGGGTCAACCATTCAGATGTAATCTGATAAAACAGGGAGTACATTTTGTTCTAAAAGAAAGAGCAACATTCTCTGCAGTGCTTTTTGGGATAGTCCTATTTCTCTATATTCTCCCTCAGGCCTGTGTCAAGCTGAGCTAAAGACTGAGAGAAGAAAGAAGCACCAGAGCTTTGAGAGCTATGGAAGTCAAGAGAGAGTAGAAAGCCCTGAGTAAAGATAAGACCCAAAGTCAGTTACTATAACCCAATAAGGTTTATCTTTTGTTTTGTGAAATCTGGTTTAGATTGGCTATCCTCTTCCATTGAGAAGCTACAGCATCTAAGGTCACTGTGTCAGGGGAAGAACTGTTAAGAGAAAGCAATTAACTATTCTAGCCTGGAAGTGATACTTCACTTCTACCCCCAGCCCATTAGCCAGAACTAGTCACATGGCTCCAACTTAATTGCAAGGGATGCTGGGAAATTCAGGGAAACACATGGATTTTGTTGACTACAACTCTGCCACAGTAATGGTATGCTTTTAGTGGATATGATTTAAAAAAAAAAAAACAAGAATGAGTAAGTGAAATAGCAGCAGACCCCAAGTTAAAAGAGCACAGTTTACCACAGTTTGAGGTAGTCAAGTAAATGTAGCACAAATTCATGTAACTCACTGGAAGTTCAACTCCTTTATGTAGGGATAAGAATACCTCCTGGCTTGCCTACTTTCAAGGATCAAATAAAATACTGTGATGTCTGTGAATGTGTTTCAAACACTGCTAAGTGTCATGCAAACTTCATCTATTACAATCAGCACCACTATTATCATCATGGTTACCAGTGAGGGCTGGTGATTGCCTGATCTCTGTGTGTAGCTAGAAAGAACTAAAGTCCCTGCTCACTCTTCTAGTTTCACACCTGTCCTCTTTCCTCCTAAGTACCATCACTCAACCTTGCTCAGCTCCTGGCAACTTCCCCAACATGTTTTTATCCTCCAGCATTTGCATCTCCTGTTCCTTCTGGTTGTATATATTTTCTCCCTTTCCTCTTCTTTCCTTCCACCAGAAAATACCCATATATCCCTCAAGGCTATATATATATAATGGATATATAGGCCAAGTTTTTAACAGAGGTATGTACATAAAGAAGAACCCCAAATTGTCTTAGAGTTAGGGATTAAGGAAGGCTTTTTAGATAGGATGATGGTGAGTGTAGGAGCTCTGGTAGCATAGTGGCTAAAGCACTTGACTGCTAACCAGAAGGCTGGCGGTTCAAACCCACCAGCCACTCCTCAGAAGGAAGGTTGGGCAATCCTACTTCCGTAGTGATACTGCCTCGGAAACCCAAGGAGGGGTCACTATGAGTCGAGGCCGACTCAACAGCACACAACAACAACAACATATATATATATAAAAGCTCTGGTAGCATAGTGCCTAAGGCACTTGACTGCTAACCAGAAGGCTGGCGGTTCAAACCCACCAGCCACTCCTTGGAAGGAAGATGGGGCAATCTACTTCCGTAGTGATACTGCCTCGGAAACCCAAGGAGGGGTCGCTATGATTCGGGTCTGACTCGACGGCAAATAACAACAACAACAACAATACATCCATTAATCACTTACGTACCTGTCTCCTCTCCTAGGCTGTGAACATCTTAAGATCAAAGACTTGGTCCTACACTTTGTTCATGAGTGCAGGCTCTGGCCTGAGCTGCCTGTATTCTGATCCTAACTCAACCACTTCCTGGTTGCATGTCCTCAGATAAGTTATTTCACCCATTTGTGCCTCCATTTCCTTAAGAAGAAAATAGTTACACAACAGGGTTATTGAAATAAGTATAGAAAACATACATGCAGAGTGTTAAAAAAAATAATGCCTGGCACATAGTAACAAACAAACCCATTTTCATGGCTTGATTCTGACTCATGGCTTGATTCCAACTCATGGTGACTACATGTTTGTCCGTTTAGAGCTGTTTGTGCTCTGTAGGGTTTTCAATGGCTGAGTTTTTGGCAGTGCCTCACCAGGACATTTTTCTGAGATGCCTCTGGGTGGAATCAAACCTCAAATCTTTCCATTAGCAGTTGAGTGCTTTACTGTTTGCACCACCTAAGGATGTATTTGTTGTTGTTAGGTGGGTCAAGTTGGCTTTGACTCATGGTATTTATATTCAACAGGACAAAATGTTGCTGGTCCTGAGTGATACTCACAATCATTGCTGTATTTGAGGCCATTGTTGTAGCCACTGTATCAGTCCTTCTTCTCATTGAGGGTCTCTCTTTTTCTCTGTCCCTCTACTTTACCAAGCGTGATGTCTTTCTCCAGAGATTGGTCCCTCTGATGACTCATCCAAAGTAAGCAAGATGAACTTTTGCAATCTTGCTTCTAAGGAATATCTGACAGTACTTCCTCCTAGTCTGATTTGTTCATTCTTCTGGCATTTCTTGGCATATTTTAAATTCTTCACCAATGCCAAAATTTGAATGTCAATTCTTTGGTCTTCCTTTACTATTATCTGGTTTTTGCATGCATATGAGGCAATTGAAAATACTATGGCTTTAGTCAGACGGACCTTAGTCAACAAAGTGACATCTTTGCTTTTAAGATTTTAAAGAAGTCTTTTGCAGCAGATTTGCCCAATGCAATATGTCGTTTGATTTCTTGACTACTGCTTCTTTGGACACTGATTGTGGATCCAGCTAAAATGAAAACCCTGGCAACTTCAGTATTTTTCCTGTTAATCACATTGCCTATTGGTGCAGTTGTGAAGATTTTTGTTTTCTTTATGTTGAGGTGTAATCTACTGTGGTGTAATAAATTACATGGTATGGCTTTTCTAGCCATAGTGTTTGTAACTCCCACTTTGCTGTGAACAACTAAGTACCTGCTTGTTAAAGTCATACACCTGGAGCAGTTTGAAGTAATCTGGGAAGTTTGCTCTCTCTCAGATATGTAGAATTTTGATGTTGGGATTGCTTAGTTTTGCCACTCTTAAGTTTAAAATCAGCCCTCCTAGAGGCAGAAAGATCTGTCTCTGACTGCTGGCTGAGAGAAGCACACAGCTGAGGGAGAGAGAGAGAATCGCAACTGAGAGAGACAGAGAGAGACAGCTGAGAGATTGTGGCAGTGGAACTAAGAGGTATGGGATAGAGCTGCAGGCTTGCCTGTCCTACAGAGGCATAGGCCAGGCTGAGAGGCCAGGGGCCAGGCCAAGAGGCCAGGGGCCAGAGAGGCGTGTCTAAGGGCACAGCAGAGGGGAGACTGTCCTGACCAAAGAACTGTATCCTGCGTCCATCCCTGAACTGAAATTGTAGCCTGTTGCTTCCATAATAAAGCCTGTAATCTCAGTTTTTGTAGCCACTGCAGTGAATTATGAGCCCAGCAGAGAGGTGGTAGATCCCACGGGAGCAACAATTGCTATCAAGGTTGGTAAGAGGGTTGGAGGATGGCAGCATGTCTGGCCTCATAGGAACAGGCCTTGGGTTGCTGATGGTGATTCTGTCTTCCTCTTGTAAAGTTAGACAAGATCAGAAGATGCCGCTTCCTTGCCCCTTTAGCATCCATACTGAAGGAATCTTCATCATTAAGTGCCTCAAGTCCACTTCACTTTAAGCAAGCAAAGTTGTATTATGTGCATATTATAGGTTGTTAATGAGTCTTTCTCCAATTCTGATGCCATGTTCTTCTTCATATAGTCCAGCTTCTTGAATTGTTTGATCAGTACACAGATTGAATAAGTATGATGAAAGGATACAACCCTGAGTCACGCCTTTCCTGATTTTAAAGCATGCAATATCCCCTTGTTCTGTTCAAATTGCTGCCTCCTGGTCTATGTACAGGTTCCTTATGAGCACAATCAAGTGTCTGGGATTCCTATTCTTCCCAATGTTATCCATAAATGGTTATGATCCACTCAGTTGAATGCCTTTGCATAGTCAATAAATCACAGGTGAGCATCTTACTAGTATTCTCTGCTTTCAGCCAAGATCCATCTGACATCATCAGTGACATCCCTCATTCCACATCCTTTTTCTGAGTCCAGCTTGCATTTCTACCAGTTCTCTGTCAACGCCATTTTTAAATTCTCTTTGACAAAATTTTCCTAGTATGTGATATTAATGATATTTTTTGATAACAATAACAGATGGATGGTGGAGACACAGAGTGGGTGTTCAATAAATATTTGATGAATAAAGGAATGAAAGAATGAGTGAGTGAGTGTCTCAATTTCATGAGGTAGGTACTTTACAGCTGAAGAAACTAAGTTTATGAGAATTTTTTTTTTTTTTCCTTTTTTGCTAGTTTGAGCTGCATCTCATATGTAATTTGGCTGAGCCTAGAGTCCATCCTTTAGCTTTTGTCTGTGACACCTAGCAGGTGCTGAACAAGTGGATGCAATAAATATCAAAATCGATGAACCTGGATCCGAATGGTGGGGAGGGAAAGGGGGTGTTGGAACCTCACGAGAGTTGCCTCAGCTCCTGCTGAGTCTTCATGAGGCTGATTTTTTTGCTTGCTGGGTTTTTCTGGTTCCTTTCAGTGGATGTAAAAGGAGAACAGCCAGTGCAACAGGATTGAAAGCTCTGGGCACAATGCAGGAATTGTTCATTTCACAGGTCAGACGCAACACTCAAGAGCCCAGCTCACAAAGCCAGGCTTTATTCTTAATGCCTCCTGAATCCTGGGAGAAAGAACTGTGTTTGTTGTTGAGAAATTCAGCCCAGGCCCCATCAGAGTGATTACTCTTTTCTCTTTGATGCATTAAGAGGAGAGGCAGGTAGTCCCACTTCACAAGCCAAACAAGTGCATGGTTTGGGTTTGACTCTGAGAGACGGACAGAGACCTTGAGCATCCCCTCAGAGAGACATTCACAAGCCAGCCAGCTCCTCGGTCACCTGAAAGCCAGATCAACCATGCTCAAGGCTCTTGGCCCAAGCCCTGGTGCTTTAAGGGACAAAGTGGCAGGATGTAATTAAAAAGGAGCTTCCACCCTCAACTGCTTAACTGTCCTCCTTACCCTTGGAGCAGACTCCTGCCAGTAAGAAGTCCTTCCCTCCACTGCCCTTCCTATATCATGGATGATGAAGTAGAACAGGGTCTTTGAAAACCAGTGCAGGCAGGACCAGACAGAAGAGGACCTAGTCCTGTTATGTCATTGACCAGCTGGAAGAGCTGCAGCATTGCCCATAACCTCTCAGCACCACAGTTTCAATGCCTGTCAAAGGAGAACAGACGTCCTTGGTGGTTCAGTGGTAGAATTCTCGCCATCCATGAAGGGAATTTGGGTTTGATTTCGGGCAGGGCACGCCATGTCAACCACCATCATCTGTCAGTGGAGGCTTATGTCATGCTACAAAGTCTAACGGGACTTAGTGGAGCTTCAAGACTAAGACAGGCTGGGAAAAAAGACCTGGCAAGGTGCTTCCAAAAATCTGCTGACAAAAGCCATCTGGAGCCCCATGGACCAGCCTGCCACACATCACGGAGATAGTGCTGGACCAGAGAGCCTTTTGATCTGTTGTGCATGGCATCACTGTGAGTCTGGGCTGATTTGATGGCAGCTATGAACAACCACAAAAGGAGAATAAGAGCCCCTTGTGGGTCCACCTCTGGAATCATTAGGAGGAGGCTGAGAGCACTAAACTACCCTTCAGGAAAGTTCTTTGTAGACTGTTCCAATCTGTACCCACAAAACTGTAAAAGAGAGAAGTGTCAACCAAACTGTACCTGGTGCCCAACAGCTAGGTGTGCTCTCATTCAAAAATTAAGTTCTTGTAAGAAAAGAAGGAGAGAAGGGAAGACATATTTGTTAGGGATTAGAAAACTGTTTTTGCTCTGAGTCACCTGTTTGACACTTACACCCAGGAAGCAGGATATCTATCTACACTAGGTTCTCACTCAGAAGGAAGGAACTGGCGAATTCAACACACTTCCTCCTAAATGAATGATGATTGAGGAAAACTAACTGTTGCTTTAAAAAAAAAAAAAAAAAAAAAACTGCCTTTGACTCAATTTCCCCATAGGGTTTCCAAGGCTGTAATCTTTATGGGAACAGACTGCCACATCGTTCTCCTGGAGAGCAGCTGGCGAGTTCAAACCCCCAACCTTCAGCTAACAGCCAAGCACTTCACCGCTGTGCCACCAGGGCTCCTAACTGTTACTCCTCACT